CTAAAATTCATAGTAAACGAAGAGTTGGCTCTTGTTAGATGGAAGATCAGCACCTTCCTTCTGTTGCAAAGTTCAGCCAGGGCTCATTTCAGATCCTGCTTCAGCTGGGTAGTGGCGTTCCGAAACACCCGAATGAGCGTCAGAAAGGTCGAGGTGATGTTTTGGTACCTCCCGAAGGAGGGTGCAAAGCTCTGATGCCGGAAACATTTGTTTGCACATACCTTTCATCCCCCTTTGCATGGTCATCTCTGCTTTTAAACAACCTCTCCAGTCGACATCTGCTCGAGCGCTAAATGCTTTCCTGCGCGTGGAGGTGTTAAAAAACACGAGCGGTGCTGCAGGCGGTGGCGTTGAGACTGCGGGTGGTGAGATCTTACACCTGGGGACCGGAGCTGTGGAAGGACTGACTTTCCCAAGACCGTAAGAGAGTCCGACAGAGCGAGGTCACTGAACTCTCACTTCCTTGCAGCCTCCTGGGGTGTCGGAGCCAAAGGGTGGGAGTCTGGAGCTCTGTTATTCCCTTCTCTGGCCAAGCTCCCTCTTACAAACCCTCTTTATTGGTGAGTTTCAAAGAAGAGAAAGCTCCCAGGAAGCCTCTAAAGGGCTCGGAGACCACCTTCCGAAACACATCCGTGGTGTAGGAAACCAGCCAGGATCCATCCTGCAGGTCTTAACCAGGGGAGAAACCTCGTTTAGTTCTTCGACACCGTTCCCTGCAGCTCAGTTTTGTGTATCTGACCGAAAACTTCGGTGTTTCCAGAGCTGCCCTCAGGGTAAGGGTGTTGTACCTCTGCCTGTGTGAAATTCCTTTATTTTGGGGGAAAAAGGACGATACTTCCAGATACTTCTCGTAGTAAGGGAAGCTCTCCAGACAGATTTCTTCCAGCTGATAGGCAGAAATGCAACCTTTGCCGTCTTTTTCTTCATCAATCACTGTTCTTGTCTCTGATTTTTAACACACGTCCCAATATAAATCAAACTACCGAGAGGGCCAGATCTTGAAAACCCTTGGAGGCTGAGGTTAGATTCTGGTTTCTCCCCTTCATAAGTGAGAAGGGGTTTAATTTCCGTGGGTGATTAAATTCACCACGCAGTGCTTGGTGTGGTTCTGGGTTTGCCGAGTGCTTCTGCGGAGCAAAATATTTTGAGCAGGTTGGAGCACTGATCAGTGTATCACTAGTGTGGGTTTAGCACAAAAAACACAGCTTAAACTTAGGGAAAAATAAAATATTTTAAAGAGCTCTGGCCATGAGACGACGAGCAGGAAGTGAAGTGATGCTCTGAAACTCCCCACCTTTGGGATTTTGAATGAATTTCTTAATAAAATTCACAACCGCTCATGTCGAGCTTCCTCTTGGCACAGCTGAGTCAGAAGAGGCCGCGGCGCTTGGCCGTGCAGTTAAAAAACCACCTGGTGGGCAGCGTGTCCCTTGGGCTGGTGACCCCGTCTCTCAAAACTCGAAACATCCACACCTGGAGGGAGAGTCCACGGCCTCATAAAGAAAACCCTTCCTCAGTTTCTCCTAAACTGGGAGCTTGGGTCAGCGTTTTGCCTTTTTTACCAGGTTTTGCACAGGTCACAGGTTCCCAGGGGCCGGTTGACGCAGTTTGGGAAGACTTTTCACCTCTTTTTCACTTGAACTTGGGGCAGGCAACCCTCTCCTTGCCAGGCAGCGTTCAGGCTCACCCTGCCCTGGCGTTGCTCTGGACTAACAAACAACATCTGGACTAACAAATAACATCTGGACTAACAAATAACATCTGGACTCCGTGAGGTTTTCATCTTGTCGTGGTTCAAGCCGACAGGGACAAAGAGCCACGAGGTCTCCAGCTCACTCCTCTCCCCAGCCCTATTTCCACAATGTTGTGGATGGAGACAATTTCAACTAAAAATGCTCGAGCGTTTGAGATGAAGGACAGGGAGGGTAATAATTTAACATTTCAGATGACGGGTAAAGAACCAGAGCGACTTGGAGAGAAAAACATAGATTTAATTCACGACCACTAATTAAAAAGTAGAATAGGGAGAGGAATACATTAATAAATAGGACTCGATCTTAAATACCCTTCGCCCTCCCATCCCTCCCATCTTGCTGGCTACCTCCTTCCCCCATCGGTGCCAGGGGGTCAGGGGTGGGGGCTCCCGTCCTTCTGGCCACTTCTCCTTGTCCGTGGCAGCTCCTCCTTGTCTCTCCTTCCCTCTCCTTCCTGTCCACCTCACGGGAGGCAATCCTTTTCCTCCTCGGGACTCCCTCAAGGCCACAGGTACGTTCAGCCACCGGTCGTTTCAGGCACGTCCACTGCTGACGCTCATCTCTGCCCTCTCGCATGGGGCTCTGCCCGAACCGACGTATCCTGGATGTTCTTGCCACCGTCCTGTGAGCTGCCGGGCAATCTCCTTGCCAGCTCAGGAATCGCCTTTCCCGTAGGCTGCAGGGAAAGGTCCTTCTCCTCCTTCTTCTCCTTCTCCAGGACTCTTCTGGGGAAGGGACTGGAGCAAAAGTCCTGTGAGGAAAGGCTGAGGGAGCTGGGGAGGTTCAGCTGGAGAAGAGGAGACTCAGGGGCACCTTCTCACTCTCTACAACTCCCTGCAGGGAGGGTGCAGTCAGGGGGGGTCGAGCTCTTCTCCCGGGCACCCAGTGACAGGACGAGAGGGGCCGGGCC